TTTTTATAGTTTAAACTCCATTTAATAATACTCAATAATCTGTTGTGTTTTATTATTTCAGTTAGTAAAATAATATAGTATTTATATTTTCAATTCAAAAACAACTGTGTTTGACAATCAAAAGATATTGGATTGATTCTATATCAGATAGAGTCGTTCTCATTCTGAATTTAGGTCTAATTTATTAATAAAGTAATACCTACCGCGAATTTGTTATTTTTAGAGCTATAAAATACACGATGATAGACTTTTTTCAAAGGACTTCCATAAGAAGAGGAGGTTGGACCACTTTGATATTTTAAGCTACGAGTTAACCATTGGTTATACTAGAAATTATTATGTACGAGATTTTCATATTTCTTGTAATTGATTGTAACAGTTTTCGATTAAAATAATTAGATTTATATACCTATACCCTAGGCTAGATTTAATGATTTAATCAGTATTGTGTAATAAATCACGTGTTATACGAGTATACTGTAATCCTAATTTCTGAATACGTAAATTGTATCTAATATCAAAAATTTGAGGGGACTTGTTCATCCATTTTTTTTTTTTTTTTAATTTATGTACTCCCTATTTCTTATATATTATTTATACTCGTATATGCTGATATTTTCTAATAATTATTTAAAAATAAATTCAATGTTTAACCGATATAAGAATAATATAAATTAACTTATTTTATATATTGTTTATTTCATTTTTTTTTTTTTTTTTTTGTCAATTGTATCAATAAATAATCTAGTATTTAGTTTAAAATGATCATATAATAACAATATGTTATGTAATATAATACATAATTTTTTGAAAGAGAATATAAAACCAAATATTTATTTTTATTTTTATTTGAATTTTATTTTAAAAATATTTTTTACTTATCAAATTTTAATTTCTACTCCTTGAATAAACGTGAACATAGAAAGATTTTAAATTACCAGTCTAACCAGATACATTGATAGATTAAACTTAAGTATAAATTAAAAAGTATCAGTTGAAATTTAAATTTCGAACATTTCATATTACATCATAATTTTCAGATGTGAATTATAAAATTTATAAGTGAATGGATATTTTAAAGTTGTAATATAGTTGTTTTAATTATAATAATATTGTAAAAAAAAAAAAAAAAAACAATATTATTTATTATTAAAATACTATGAAAATAAAGAAAAATGAGTAAATTATTAAACATTTTGATAAAATGAATTACATTAATCAAAATATAAATGAGTTCTCGTTTGTTCAATTTTTAAACCATATAAAAATTATTAAATATAAATAAATACGTTATATTTCATACATAAATATAATAGTAATATAAAAAAAAAAATTATAATATTGAAATTAATAATATTCAATAGAACCCCATTGAAAAAATATTTTTTTTATACTTGCATAAAAAATGAAAAAAACTAGTTTTAAATAAAATTATCTAAAGTGTCTGTTGCTACAAGGTTATTGAAAAACAATATTGTTGTGTCTTTAAAAAAACTGTATTCCTATATGCGATTATTCATAAAGTTAACTTTTGATATTTTTTGATATTTTTCGAAAAGTCTTTACAAATAAAAACTTTAAATAAATATAAGACAGTGTGATATTAAAAATATATAAACAGTTCTTATGCATTTTTTACATTTTTTTTTTTCAAATACAAGTATTTATTTTTGCTATTTACTGATACTTTAGGTCACACTTCAATATTATCACTGTTTCATGTAGTTGTTGTCAATTTGTACGGATTTTACGGTAGTATTATATTTAAATATAATTACTTTTAGGTAAACATAAAAATACTCTTCTCTGATTTGTATAGCACATAACTTACGCAAACTTCTTATAAATCATTACAGTATTACGTATTCCTATAAATACACAAATGCAGTAAACACGGAGCCTACGACAGTTTTCATCATTTGTAATAATAATAATATTGATATTATTATTTATGTCAAAGTAGGTGAGCAATCTTTGACAGTAAAATCATGCAACTAAAACCATCAAACAGTTATATTATGATAGGTATGAATTACTATTACAAAGGTTTCGATTGAATACGCTACATTGGCAACGGTATACTATGTGTCAGTCATAAATTGTATGTTATTATTTATTTTTACTTAGGTACTAAGTCTATCATCAGTAACTATAATAATAGTATAAAAGCATCCTTAGAATTTTTGAAATGCAATTTAAATAATTTCTTCAGACGTTTAATATAGTAACGATCATAAATAAAATTAAATAAATAAATAATGTTTCACACATTTTATTTATACTTAGGTAAACTCGAATTAACTCACAACTTGTAATAGTACGATAATATTAATAACACCATTATGAAAGTAAAACAATTCATAATACTACATACTTGTGGCTAAGTTAAGATATGTATTAAAAGCCAGATTTAAATAAAAAAAATAAAAATAAAAACTCATTTTTATTTTAATAATATGCTTGAACCATACGGCTAAAAATTTGACCACAATCATTAAAATTACAAAAAATCTGTTTACATTTTTTATTAAAAAAACAATTTATATGAACAAATGAGCAATAAATATACAGATTCCCGGTAAAATTTAATGAGATCGGCGTGTTTCAACAAGACAGATTCACTTAAAAGGATATAACTTGAGATATTTAAAATTGATGCGGATCATGTAAAGGAGCACCTGCAGCTGTAGTACTCGAAATATTATATTTGCAACCTATACAACATGTCTGGTATCGTAGATCACCACAAATATCTTTGTGAGTAATAAAGTATTCTTGGAACTAAATGCGACGGTCGCATCGATATCGTCTACTTATTAATTATATTGGAAGTCAATTTCGTTAAAATCTGATCACCACAAGGGCAAAACAAGATTCTTTGATGGAATACCGCAAACGTCCGTCGCACAACTGCCTGCAACATTATTTACCACCGACCTCGGTTTTAAGATGTTATCTACTTCCATCCCGAGTAATCTTAAGCTCTAATTTGTGGTATGCACATTTATTCTATGTTATTATATTTCTCGGCACATTCAAAAAAATTAAAACTCTACCGTTATTACCATTTTTATTCTAGGTATTCATAATTCTCTTACACTTTTTCATTTTTTGTCATCCGATTCGCTCGTATTATCTGTATGTTTCTCTTCAAAATAGCTTTGTCACTACTTATTGTCAGTATAGTAAAAAATTAACGTCATAAAATAATATGACCAGTGCTTGTAACTTCTTTTGTTTTCCAATTACTTTAGTTACCATGCATTTAACATCTGATTTAACATGGATAAATAGAACTATTTCAAATCCAAAAATTATCATAATATATTTCAATCCATTATCAAATTTTTATTCATAGTGCATTTTTTTATATTTTAGTTTTACTCAATATATCTATACATTTTTGTTGTTGTTAATAATACGATAGGTTTTTCAATATATAACCATAACCATTATATTACAACAAATGAGATAATGCTATATAAAAAGTATATTATATTATTATTGAAATTATTAAACATGTAAAATTAGTCATAGTTGATATTATTAATAGATAACATAAAATTTGTCTATAAATAAAGATAAATTATGAAATGTATATGGATGAAGATAGAGATAAAATAAAAAAAACTTGAAAATATCTAGATAAAAATAATTAATGTATTTTATATAGCACGTTATTGGCATGTGCGTGTACTTGCAAGAGCTCTCCATTATTTATTTTACACTACAGACATACTAATGATCACTTTAATAACGAACGAACACATTTACATCACGCACAGATTTAGAAAATTGTCTATATTTATATTACATTCGGTGCCGAATCCCTTAAAGTAATAAAAATAATATAAAGCAATAGAAAACAAATATATTTAAATAGTCATCATAAGCATAAAAAAATGATTCGGATATAAACACTTATTTTATAAAAAAATGTAAACGCATTTAACACTGCATATTTAGTATATTTGTTGTGCATACGTATGAAGGATTTATTTTTTCTTGCTGTATCAGTTATTAAACGCTGTATATTTAAATATTTAAATTGTCTACAAACCAAACACCAATCTATTTACCATATCATATTTTTCTAATCAATTATAATGGTTTAAAATCAATTGTATAAGCTTCATAAATGCATTAGTACATTTAAGTATGAAAAGTAAATTGTTTGAAATCTTTTCAGATTATTTATTTATGTAAACTTCATTTTTAACGAATAGAATGCTCTCAAAAATTGCTTATTAGTAATAAAATTACCTATTGTGTTCTCAAAATTGAAAATATATTTGGTTTTTTTATGGTTCTAATGATGTAAAAAAAAAAAAAATACAGAAAAAAAAATAAAAATTTAAATATGAAAATACTACTAAGTTTCATTTAAAATTATTTTATTATTATAAAATGATTACAATTATATTAGTCGCTATTAAAATATATTTATTTAGTGAAATAACTGTTATAAGTTAAAACTTATTAAAAAGTATTAGAATAAGAATAAATAATAGTATGGGAAAAATATTTGAATATTACTTAAATGTGATCATTTTATATAATTATATTGACTAAATTTATCAATTATATCACGAAAAAAAGTGAAAGTTCCACGTAATTATGCAATAACGCCGATTTTTATACAAGTATATCAATTCGTTAGAAAATATTGATTATGAAAATGTTCTAAATAAAACTAAAAAGGTATTGAAAATATTATGTCTTAAGTCTAAAAGCGTGGCGAAAATAGTAAATATGCCTTTTAAGATATTTATTGTGTTGTCAATTTGAAATGTCTATATACCAAAAGTTTTATGATTTTGAAAGTCTTAAATTTTTCTAAGCCAATAACTTTGAAAGTGATCGCTTTTCCTCGAAAAACGGTTATCTGTTTCCCGAATAAGAACAAAATCCGTGACTTTGGTTAAAAAAAAAAAAATAGGTAGTCATACTAGTGGAATTTGGTCGTTATAATATTATTAATCTTTTCTATTTGTTCACAGGGAATTTCTTGTTTATTTACGGTCATAAGAACACACCACATATCTACATACGCAGTCCGTACTACACCACTGGCGTGTTTGATAACAACGGGTGTTCGCTGTCATTTCAAATGCACACCAACGTCAGTGTACCCAGTCAAGTGTCGATAATGCTAAAGACTGAGAATTATACATCATTAATTCAGGATAATGTCGAAAACAACTCTCCAGTGTAAGTATAAAACCACCCTTAAACGTTATGTAACTATTATCAACGAAGCTATGGTGGCTTGACGATGTGGTATATATGTATATTGTAAACAAGCTTTTCATCCAAAAAAAAAAAAATACAAATAATTATTAGTTAACCATAAAAAATATTAATATAACTCTAGATTTTTCAGAATATTTTTAAATACTTTTGTACTATCATGATATCTAAACTAGTAATTACCATACATTTTTCACGTTGTATATCTAGATTATCGTGACTAAAATCGACTACTATAATATAAATACAGCATATTTCTTCATTTTAAAAAGTGGGAGTTAGGCGTCTTTCCACACATATCCACCTTTGAGGTTCACTCATATAAGAAATAATTTACCTAGAGATTATAACAATATAATAATATACTACTAATAAACATGGTAATTTTTTAAATGTTATTGCAAAACAAAATTTTTGATTTTCAATTATCCTATATATAAAAAAAATTAAAAATATCAATTTTAATATAAAATAAATGCTAATATTATGGTAGTCTTGATGATCTGGATGATTATAGCATAACAATTAAATTATTAACGCTAACTTGGAAATACTAAATATATCAGAATAATTTGTTTGTAAGTGCTAAAAACGTTTTAGTTTATATTATTTGTATTTTACATAAAATTTTAATCACAAAAACATTAGAATACTTATCACATTTGCATGCTAACTATGAAGATTCGGTATTACTTGTTCAACATTTCATAATATTTTAAGTTAGTCATTTTTATAGTTAATAATATTATACGTTACCATTAAATATTACACACAATTAATATGATTTCATAATTTTTTGAACAGCTAATAAATATTTAAAGACTAATTAATGGTAACATGTTTTTAATTTGAAAACTTTTGAATTAAAAAATCTTGTTAAAGTTGAGCACATTTGTCATTTTTTTTTTACTTCAATTTAACTTAACTATAAGTTTGACTAACTGGGATATTAATATTGTGGTGGATGTAATAGCTAAGAGTTTCTCAATGTTTAAAATATTTCAATACCATGATTTTTTATTATATTATGAATAAATATAGTAGAATATTACCTTAATAATTAACTAAGAATTTCTGTAAGAGTGATCCCTCTGCATAAACGTACAATTTTTCAAGATAAACCTATTTATTATAAGTATTCATAATTAATCTATAATTTTTAAAAACTGGAACTATATTAACAACCATAGAAATTTTATTGCTATTGTTGTGATACACATCATCGAGTAAATCTTCATGTTGCAATATCTTATGAGGATTAATACCATACAAAATTTGTTACACATTGTAATGAATGGCTTAAGCATCAAAGTCTTACAAAGTTTATGTGTACAGAAATACCCGTATACATTATTAATAATTGTTTATTTTAATTTTCATATTTGTTAAAATATATTGTAGACATGAATCATTTTAGAGCTGTGACATTTGATTACATGAACTGTATATAGATAATATTATAAATATTTCAATTGCATACACATTTGTTTTACAACATACATATTTTTTATGTTTAGAAGTTCTATTTTTATTTTTGTTTAAATACTACAGTAAAATGATATATTATTAAACTTAAAATCAATACAATTATCTATGTTATCACTTATGTTGTTTTAATTTTGGAGCGAGTTAAAACTATATAAAATATTAATAAATAAAAATTCTCATAACTTGCTTAAAAATTAAAAAATCGTATTGATAGTTAACCAATAAAAATTAAAACGGTTTTCGTTATTTTAAATCATGAATTCACAATTAAAAAAAAAAATATCTCAGATTTAAAACAATAGATATTTGAAACTTAAACATTTTAACAATCATATTGGCTGTCTTATATTTACTAACATTTAATTACTTTTGTATGAGTGGTTATATTAGTAGTACATGTATATTATAGGTATCTCAACGCAGTTAACCACCATAATTAGTTCATGAATAGTTCAAATTTATTTTTTAAAACATCCGATTTTCAACTATTACTTACTGAATACCTTATATACCTACTTAGAAATGCTTTTTTTTTGCAAATTATTTCAAACAATAGTATTTACCACATTCAAAAAAAAAAAAAAATGAAAATAATATCATGGCCTTGATGATTGTTTATATTTTTATAGATATTGGGAGAAAAAGAAGATATTGTTGGGTCGACAGACAAGACAAGTTATTATTGAAATAAATATCAAGCCTGGATCACATGTCGCCATTGATGATATCAGATTAGAAGATTGCTTACCAGGTAATTATATAAATTATATTATGTTCAAATTAATAAAATATACAAAATACATTAAAAGAATAAAACTTAAAGTAAAGTATGAAATAACGAATTATACATAAATTTATTTATCATTGTATAACACTATTTTCATCATATTCCACTCATTTTTATGACTTTGAGATGCACACATAATATAATAAAATAATTTTATATTCGTTACTTATTTTATTCATTAATTTAACAACGTAAAGATATTTTAGATATTATGTCCTTATATAATGTATCTGTGTTACATAATTATAGTAAAGATTATTTTCTAAGATCAAATTTGGATAAACAATATGATAAATATAATGAATTAGTTTCACAGTTATAAAACCGTTCAATACAAATGAGTACGTATCTACATTATATATTAGTCACAAAACCTGAAACAATTATGTATTTAAAATCTAAAATCATTTTTTTTTTTGTATTTATACTTTGATGTGATACGAAGATATGGAAATTCATTACGGAAAGTCTACGAGCAGAAGAGTATGTCGTGAAGTCGGTGTTGGTGATCATTTCATCACCGTGGTAGTCTGTCAGGCGGTGTGGTTAAGAACTGAGTAGATGAGATAACATGTTTTAAATATAGAAGATATTATATTTATATTAATTAACATAATAGTATAATAATAAATAAGAAAAATTATTGTGTTATGGAAGGTACGGTAATATTTGATCGTTGCACAATATAAAAAATTATTAGTGAAAAATAAAAACAAGAAAATAGTCGATGTGACAATGCTCGTATTTCGGTACCACAGAAGAGAAAGAGTGGCTTTTACCATTAATGATACATCGTACCCGACACGATATTCCGTCTCACCACGTGTCATATTTGAAAATGATGTGAAATTTTTGATTCAACGTATCGTTGTATTATATATTGGTGGTTAAATATTAGTAGACAAGTCACTTATATGATGTACTTCAAGCTATTGTGAGCTATGTCAGACACATCTTTGACAGTCATTTTAATCGAGGACAATAAACTAAGAACAAATGTATCGAAAGTGATACAATTGACAAACCACTGTTATTTTTAGTTGGATTCATATTATTATCCAGAACCATATTATCAAAAAATCTAAAAATCAAAGCTAACACATGGCTTTGCTACGACCTATCATGACTCTAAAAATAAAAAAAAATAAAAAAATAAAAACAAGGCTCGACATATTGACTCTTGAAGTAAAATACTATAACAAAAACGTATGGCCCGTAGTGAAATCCAAAAAGTGTTGAAAAATAGACGAAAAAAAATTGTTGAACGACTATGCATTAGGAGGAAAATTATGAAATGATTGATGTAGGGTGGGCAGCCTGGGGAAAATGATACCGTGATAACAATAGTAATTGAAGAAGGGTGTTTTTCCGGGTCAACGGTAAAAATACCAGTAAGTAGACCATGCCTGTGATAGGATGACCGTATAATAAAGAGAAAAGTAGATCCAAAAACTAATAGAAGAGAATAATAAGTTGAAGTCAGAGAAAGCTGAAGAAAAATATGTTTTAGAATATGGCCTTGAATACGAGGTACTGATATATTATATACATTAATATACACTAAAAATGTCTCACATGGCAAAAATATCACGCCATAATTTCTACGTTTGAATTAATAAATGGTTATGTTTAAGTTCTTATATTTTGAATACATTTCTTCTTCACGTCCGACGATTAACGTTATATCGAGGTTAGAATAATTATTGTACAGTCGAATTCGCTTATAACGATCTTCAAGGGACCAAGAGAATCTGATCAATATAACCGAACTTCGTTTAATCCGGATTATAAAAAGTAACTTAATTTTTTTTGAAAAATTGAATTATAAACACAATTTTTACTGTATTATTTTATTTAAGATTACATATTTTAACATTAAAGGTATATTTAATTTTTAATAAAAGTACACAAATGTATAGTATATTTATGTTTACGATTTTTTGAAAAATAAATTGTTATAGTGCTTTGTTTATAATTTGAATAAGATTTTTTATCAAAATTAGAAATTTTTTTAAATGTTATTGATGCTTCTGGCGTATTTATATCGCTGTTTACCAAAACAAAAATACGCACCTGATCAATACAAAAATAAACTTCTGAAATAGACGATACTTTCAATAAGTATGCCGTATAAAATATACGTTTCGTGCAAGACACATTATCTGTTACAGATAAGATTAAGAAATTATTATTGTTTCGTACGAAATCAAATTTACTACTTGTGCATATATTATTAATTGCTATAGGTGAATATAAAAAACCATTTTCATTTCAAAATAACATCGCTATATCCGGATTATCGTTGTAACCGATATCGTTACATACGACTAAAGGTATTACACATAAGATATAAAAACCAACCGAATACATTGCTTAGAATCGTTTCACCCGGAATATCGTTATATACGGCATCGCAATAAGCGAATTCGACTGTATTTGATTTAACTATTTTAATAATATGGTCATTAGTGAAGTCAAATCTTTTTTTTTTTTTTTTTTTTTTTTTTTTTTTATTATTTTACGTATTACGAGACAACGAATAATTTTAATTTAATTACTTAACATTGTTATGTTTTATTTCGTTTTAAGATCATTGTTTTATAACAGGTATCGTCACGACCTTTCGTGCGGGAGTGCGTGTATGCTGTATGACACTTATTGTCACCCAGTAATTCTTGGTTATGACTTATGTACATTGTTTGTTTGATTGTTTAACCCGAACTCACAATTATAGTTAACGCGGTCGGTTTATATTGCGATCATCTGAAATAGAACATAATTTTACGTTTGTTCGAACTTGATACGTGTCGTGACTTATCGCCGCCGGGGACCGGTTCACTTGGGTGGATAACCGACGCGTTATAGCTTTTGTCGTCGTCAGATAAAGGTCGTCGTCCAGCCGCCGACAGTCCTTTTCCCTCGCTGGTGCCGAAAACACCTCGGCCCGTGGCTGTTGCAGTGTGCAACACGTCGTTCGATCCGCCATTTCAATACGTATGATTTGATTTCGGCCTTTGTGCGTTGCCATACCACGGCGTGTTGTTGTGCCGATTTCGTTCGGTTGGTCGGCGGTGTTTGCGTTAGGGACGTCCGGGTGTCGCTGTCGCCTTTTGTGCACGTGATTGCCGTGTGTCTTTGTGTGTTACTGATTGAATGTACATATATAAATATATCTTCGTGGACCGTGTCGGCTGGTACATCGTATCCGGCCGCTGATAACTATTTCCATTGCGTGATTATAATTGTTATTATTATTATCATTATATATGTACATTTGATCGGGCGCCCACTATTCTGTATGATATACAATCGTCGTTATTATTATATTATTTTGTGCACGACGTGCTATGTATAAATTTTCGTTTTTTTTTTTATTATTTATCATTTAATTTATACTTTATATTAATCCTAGGCATCATTTCAGTTTAGTCTTCTCGGCCAAATGCTAGCTAATAGCCGGCAACGCATCAACATTTGATCAAAAATGAATGATTTGTACTTTGTAGTTATATCATAGTGCTATTTTTTATTCACAGAAATAGCCTATAAAGCTGCTTTTCGAGACTTTAACAGTTCATTGTTATACTTAATTTAGGTTAAGAATATTAAAGATCTCATTTACAAAAAAAAAAATAAATAATAAAATAAACATCATCAACAACCAATCATTAAGAGTTTTTGGAATTCAAAAATAAAACAAACATTATTTACGGATAAAAAAAAATAAAATAAAATTTAAAATAGTAGGATTTACATAATTATTACTATGTAAGCACCTATATCATATTATTCATTTTTATAAGAAAATACAAGGCACCTGGATGTTAATATTGCCCAGGTTTATTCAAGATGTTATTTATAGCTGACTATTTATATGCTGCCTATTCATTTTTTTCCCACTGCAAATTTTACCTTTTGTAATTTCTGGTCTTTTAGTTACATATATAGCAACCGGAATATTTTTTTGCGTGTACTAAATTTTATTTTATCAAAAGAAACCGAAAAGTTTATTTGTTTAAAAACGTTTTTCACTTTCTGTTCAATTACTGTTTATTTTTAGCGTTTCACTATATTTTTCTTGTAACATAATAGAAGTTCCTAATCCGCCCGATTTATAATTTAGGTATGAAACAAATATTGTTGAGTATCATTGTAAGAATTTCACGTATGATTAGAAAATATCCCACCAATTGCATCTAATAAATTATTGATTTTAATATAACGTATCGTTTAGATGTTTAATAAGAATAATGTAATGTATATTTTTACTTATTTTTTTTTATAAAAATAAGAATTTATAACTGTGATTTTCTAATATTATTCAAAAATATCAAATTTTTCTTATATTTTAATTATGTAAAATTTTATTTTCCAGAATATTTTACTGGCATAACTGATAATGGTTGTCCAACAGACTCACATTTTTTGTGTTCCGATAACATGACGTGTATACCGTATCATCATGTATGTGATATCAGTCCAGATTGTCCCGATGAAACAGATGAAACCGAAAGCTGTTGTAAGTATATATATATTTAATTTTTTTCAACAGATATTGCCAATACATTTTGGTATGCAGGTATTTCTTGTTTTCGTAGAAGCACATAACACAAAAATGGTATCTTCTAAATTGCACGAATATCGATTACTTTTGGGTAGTTACTTGGTCGCGATTAATTAAAAACCCCCAAAGCACTGGAAAAAAAATTAATTAAAGGAAAAATTGCTTTCATGTAATATTGTTAATAATAACGACGCAAAATGTATCGAATAAGAAATTGGATTGATGAATGTTGGAAATATTATATCAATCTAATATGTAATTGAATTAAATTATTTTATTTTATAATAACTATTTTAATTTGTGTATTATACTTATTGAGATTTAAGTCTACTGTGTCGTATATTTTATACTAAAATGAATTATTAACAAATTAATTAATTTTCGTTAAATTAGTCATGTAAAGTATTAAAACCTCCGGCAAAATATGACGTACTTTAAATTATTGCAGTAAAATTAGGTTATATATGAAACTTATTAACATATTGTATATTTAATGTTTTAACGTTTAAAAAGATGTTTTAATTAATTTAATAATGCAGTAAAAGCTTGGATAAAGCTTAATACAACATTTATTACGTAATATATTTTAAACTTTTAATAAGTATGTGCTTACAAAAAAAATAATATTGTATAACGTCGAAAAGTATGATAAACATTGTTTATCCGTATATTATGAATATACGAATTAATGTACAGAATACTAATGAGACAACAATATAGGGGAAACAATTAATATAGGTACCATGAAAAATTGTATTAATCATATTAATATTAAAAATGCAACTAATATTTGTATCTGTATTAATCAGACGATCGCCTAACACAGTATGAAATAAATTATAGTTGAATTCAAAAGTAAATTATATACTATGATTAAAATATTTGTATTTAATTAAAATAATTGACTATCATTGAATTTGAAAAGAATAATTATTGTTATTTTCGTACTCTTTAAATAATGCTTAAATACATATTTCGATTTTTTTTTTTTTATAAGTGTGAAATTATAAATTGAATAATTTGAGATTCATAAAAATCATTAATAAATATTGTACTTATAAGTAATTTCTTAGAATAATTTTGTAATTTTGGAAGTTCGGAAAAAAATGATAAATAAATCCAACCTTGTTTTCAACAAATAATTCAGTATTAACAAAATGCTTAGTTCCAAACTGTGTTCTAATACAATATTAAAATGATTCTTAAGCACAGCTTAAAATTTATTGTTAATAGTTTACATAGTATTATTATTTGAATGATATTGTATATATCTTTCAAAAATGCTTTTTTTTTTTTAAATACATTTTAGGATGTATTTATATTTTAATAAATTTAATATGTACCTAATTATAGAATACTATGGCTTGATATTTTTCATCTATTAAATTTATTATTAATAAAATAAAATCTTGATAAAAAAAATATGTCTAAACAGTTATTTCTTGATATGTAGATGTAATTATTAAATTCAAGCGCTTTATTTCTAAACTCTTAACATTTCAATGCCATACGATTACTCACGATAATTATAATTTTCGAATACGTTCAAAGAATTTATTTTATCTGATTTATTTAATGATCTATAATGTTACGCCTCGCTAGATGAATCATAAATCAACACAATAATGAAAACGTGATGTATGAAGTGTAGAAAAACATTTATTTAACGTTAACTTCGAATACAAAAATAAAATATGTAAGATATAAAATAGTGACTGGTGTTACGACCTGAGTCAAAAGTACTGACAAGTAATACCGTGAGTGGTATTACAACCTGCCTCTGAATGTCTCAAATATCTCTAACTATCTATCGAACTTTTGCACCGGTTTCCTTTGTATATGATCCAAACATAAAGAACATAAAGGTCTTAGTGGTGGTGACTCTTCTGTTACGAGGGATCTCGAAACATGATTTCTGTCGATTCGTATCCTTATCAGCGGGATGTCGAATTTCGACTTTTCCAAGAAAAGATGTGTTCTTATACGTTAATGATTAAATTAAAATAATATAACGTTCACGCTCTCCCTCTCCGTCTTGACCTCTACATGCTTGTATTATTAATTATTTAATGAAAACTGATCACCACATTTTACTATATGTATGTTAAATTATTTGATTTATATATATATATATGTGTGTGTGTGTGTGTATCATAGAGTTCGTAATAATACTTAAAACTTTAAAATTATCACTACATATATTGTATTAAGTTAAAATGAAGTAAGATTACTGATTTTTAGTCATGTTATATGTTTTGTTTTAGATACTTGATTTAAGTAATTTATACTGTGTATCTTTGTGTTTCTCAGCTTTTTTTGTCTGTTTCGACTTCATTTTTTTTGTTTTAATAAAAATAGAATAAACTCTTATTTTAATAATCCATGTTTTTCTACGTAGGAAATATTCTCTTAGTTATTTCATAATTAATTATTTTATAGTCTATAGTATGCGTTGTTTTGTTTTGTTTTTGTATGAAATAAATTAAGTAACCATCTTGTTATGATTATTTTTATAATACATTAACCTCGATATAGTTATTCTAAGTGTTATGTTTACACTTGCTTATAGCTTTGTTAATGTAAATTTCAACATACATACTTTGATAGATTTGTTGTGTACCTATATACATTGTCATAAAATATATAAATATATATTAGGTTAATTTTATACTCATAAAAACATTTACCATATTTAAAAACCCCTTGCTGATCATATGCTTAATATTTGTTCTTACAAATAACTCAAATGTTAGCAAACTGGTGTTTATCATTTTAAAAGCATTAGTTACAGAAACGACGAACTTTATCAAATTATTTTAACCAAACAACGTATAGAACATTGATTATTGCGCCCCTTTCATTCGTTTGTCATCATTGTGCTTGTACATTTTTCATAAATCCCGTAAAATAATAAATTACTGCGCTATTATATTGTATTGTGTTTTTATGGAAATAATGATTTTTTTGTTAACGAAATAATAATTTGGATTTCCGTCATAGGCCGCTATTGTCCGTCTTTATTTTCATTTCAAATGGACTTAATGCAATGGATGGAAAATCGCATCTATCGTAGCCAACGGGCACGATAGTAGTATTAATACGACTATTTAGAATGAAAAAAAAAAAAAGGTCCATTAGTATTTTTTTTTCGATATGAATGCGTTCTTTGATCGCGATCGTAAAATGCTAAATTAAATACTACGTACTATGTGAGATTTTTTTTCCTGCCAGATTAACGTAAATGAAAGACGTCCCGCGGATATATTATACAATTTAGAATTTCCAATACTCATTGTATGATCACAAGCGAAGTTATTAATTGACCGTTGACATTATTTACTGTTGCTAGCAATACGAGTTATATCCCAAAACTATCTGATTGTACAATAGCAAAATAAGAACAAAAGACCCATTATTTTGATAACGAAGCGCAACTCCGAAACCGTCGCGAGCTATTGTTATTAGCTAGTATGTGTTGAACATTCGTTTTTAGGCCTCACAAACATATTGGTAGCCTATGTATATGTAGCGATTACATTTTCTAGATACAACAATATTATATTACATTTTAGATGAATTTCCGGAAAACGCATCGATTTTTCGTGCAAAACAAAACCACACCTCTATAGGTTACCATGAGCTGTTTGTTTAATTTAACTGTATGATGATAATTTACATAACATTATTATTTCAACACAATAAAATGTGGATTTCAACACGGGTGATTTGTAATCTTCTAAACATATAATTTTCACTTGTTAAAAACAATGAATTGAAATTGAGTGTTACGAATATTATGTCGAATATTTGTTGTTGATAATAAACGACCATCGATGTATATTAATAAACGCATTTAACGTTTATAATAAAATTTATTATGTCGTATTAATTTTGTGCCTTTTAATTTCTGTTTTTATGCAATATTATATTATCATTTTAGTTCTTGTACCAGCTGAAGCTCGATGTACGTTCGAGTCTGGGTTCTGCGGATGGCGGAATACGTCAGGTGAAATGTCTCTAACGTGGAAACTATACAAAGGCGACCGACATAAATTCACCGGCCCGAAATGGGATAACACTTTCCGTAACCGAACTGGTAATATAACCTGCTTTGGACATCAAACAAAAACTAATTTTGATAATATTATTTTTTACGCTTTTATTTCGTGTGTTGTGAAATGTGTTTTTTTATGTATTTTGTGTTTTGTCTTATTTCATAGGTACCTACGCTTATGTAGATATGTCTGGATCTTCGTATCTTGGAGCGACAGCGCGTATGGACAGTATACATTTTCACCCACCACCGACGTATTGTTCAGATACCGAATCGAAATATTACAATTCTTGTTATGTGAGTATCTGTTGTATTCCAATATATGTATTATGGAAGTATAAAATTATTTTCTGTTCGGGTATCCATTGTGGGCTAAAATACTCAACATTTGCGATGGGATGCTGCAAAAATGGATATTAAAATTTCAACGTCAAAATTATAAAAAAAAAAAATATCGTAGTAAAAAATTATAAATTATTTGTGTGGTATAAATTTGTTTTTTTTTCGGTACCATTGAATTAAGAATATCTAAATTGAGGTCATTAGACACAACCATAATATTATATGCTTTTAACTTGATTTTTGTAGTACTCGTATTAAATTTTACTTATTAATAAGGTATTATTTTTATAATATTTTCTATATTGAGACCGATCTAGTTTAATAATATTAAACTTCAGTTTACTAGATATTTAAGCTGTATTTATTTTATATATATTTACGACTTGACAACTTCAATTGTATTCTATTCAAACGCTCAACTGCAAATATAATAACGTGAAGACGGTAAAATGAAAAATATAGTATCTACAGTCTAAAATATATAGAATGAGTATTAAACTTTTGAAAAAGAATGATCTAAACTAATAATATTGTCAACAAATTATGTCATGTAAATGTCATTCATCTTGACACAATTAATATTAGGTTAAGCGACATGACGTATCCGTTCTTTGTTTTCCACTAAATATCATATAATATGATGTTGATTAGGATTCATGTGGATAATTAATTTAAGTACATTTTCACAGATGTATATAATAGTAGTAAATTAAATGAAACACAAGTTGAAATAATGAAATTGTGTATTCCTAGGCTAGTGGTTTTGAAATTCAACTAATTCTCTTGTTATTTTTTACGTGTGATTGTTTTATTTTTAATATGCGAATAGTTATGATGCTATAAATTACGCGTATATTATATATATGTGAGAGGGAACTATTTGGTACATTGAGCTTATACCAAATTTACAAAATCAATTATCATTTATCTATTATAAATATTAACAACTCAAGAATATTGTTGATTAATCATAAAACCGTGGTTCTGATTATCTTACAATCACATGTTTTTTTTTTTTTAAAAACCTTGAGGTGTTTAAGTACTATTGCTTATTTTGAATCAAATCAATCTAAGTTTAAGTTTATTAATAAATTTAGAGAATCTGTGAGCACGTAACAGGTGGAGCGTTATACCAAATAAAACATATAGAAAAATTTGCATGTAAATATTGTGAATGTAATATTTGCTTTTAGAAATTTATATATTTATGTAAAGAATACCTTGTATAATTTTGTTGTATCCTATCGATTTTTTGCTGTGGATATCAACAGTGGCGTAGCTAAAATTTTTGAATGAGGAGGTTTAAAGTTTAAGTATGTACCAGAGATGGACAACTCAAAATTGTAGTGGGTCAGAACATAGAAAAAAAAAAAGGGTCATTCAAAATATGCATTTTAATTAGATTTATTTTGTTTATAATTTAAAAGTATTTGAACTTTATTAAATTAAACATAGTCTTCTTGTTTTGATCGCTAATTTATTGAATAATTAAAAATAATAAAATAATCAATAGAAGAAGGGAGGGGATTACAACACCAAAACCTACGCTATTACGCCATTGGATATAAATACTAATAAAACAGTATTTTTCATAATTATTATCAATGTTTTCATTGAATTAATTAATCAAATTTCAACATTATGATATAATAATAAATATACATTAATAAATAGCTAAAAAATAAGAACCTAAATTAAACAGTTTATAAAAAGTGGTTAAATAAAAAAGCCAAATGATTTAATGAAGAAAATTATACGACATAAATATAACAAGAATTTAGAATAAGTTGAATACTATAAAAGAGATAACCCAAATTAGACTAACAAGAATGTCTTATAAATCACAAATAACTTTCACGAAGTGAAAAAGTATATTTTTAGGTCAAAATAAGAATCTAATAATTGGTACTTAGTTATATGAACTATCAGAATTTTGAAGTATATTTTCATTTTTGCTTGTCTTAAATAAATCTAAAGTAAAAACGTAGTCATAATTGAAGTATTTTAAAACTTTTAATAATTCTTAAAGTTTATATTATCGAATTATAAACTCTTAATTTTTTTATTTCTGATTTACTATTACATATTATATTATTATTCCCACACGTTGTTTTTAAAATTTGTAAAAAACATTTAAACTAAATTTTATTTAACTAAAAATAAAAAAAATAATTATCGGTACCCACTATTCATTATTTTAATTTATACATTATGTATTTTTACTTATGACGTAGTGTTATGGTAATTAGATTACTTAAGAAGGAAATCTAATACACTTAAAAAAAAAAAAAAAAATTATTTTATGTTTATATTCAATTTAAACGGGAAACTAAAATAGTTTTATTGAATATTGTATTCTTAAAAAAAAATATACATTTAATAACATTTTAAAATAAATGAATAAATAAAAAAAAAAACTTAATTTAAAATTATTCTATTGTAATTTAATATTGAGTTCCACTACGTAATGTGTAACTTGTTATTTTTGTATTTTTTTTTTAATACATATAAAAAAAGGATACAATATCCTTGAAAAAATAGTAATACAATTACCAATACTAATTCAATGCCATAAAATACATATAAGTATTTTTATATGATATTTGTTTGTACGCAAGTTATTAAATTCTGATAACATTTTGTTTTTATTATGTCAAACTGTGTTTTTAAAATAATACAGCATGCAGATCTGAAAAAATTGTATTTAGTGTTACAAAAAGTTTAGGACAATGTTAATTAAAAGAAATCGCATTCCTTCATGTTAAAGCATCATTATACGTTGTGTAAATATTTAAATAACAGAAAACTTGGTATTTTTTTAATTTAAATAATGGCTCTTCAGATATATTCAAAAAGTTCTCAAGTATTTACTATAAACAACTTTTGTACGATATAAATTTATAATCCTTATATTTTTATATACATAATTTTGTATCGGAAAAATATCATTGATAGAGTTTTATAGGTTTTTTCGTATAATATTTATACACTACATAAAAATAAAACAAACAATGTTGAACAATGAATAAAAAAATGTACGCATTAATAAATAAAACTATAATATCGATTTAGAAGACTTAAATTTTAAATACTTAATACTGTATAACATTGAAAAAAATTAAAAATATGTGTTGTAACATTTAAAAATCATGGTTAAATATTTTTATGTTTATATATATATATATATTTGATCATTTACGAAAAACTTTCCTCACAATATTATAATTCATGTTTTAATTTTAATATTTGCCATTAGACAGTGTGATAATTAAACAAGTAAAATAACATTTAAATGCTTAAGTTTATTTTTTTTACTATAATAACTAGAAAAATGTATTAGAATAAAAAATGAATTTAAAATGTTTTTATTAAAATCATTATTAATTATGTTAAAGTTGAAGGTAGAAATATTAATAGGATCGATGGAGGTATTCAATAATAATTCATTAGTCGTGTGTATATTACAATTTAACATAATGATTTTATTGTTATTTTATGAATGAAGGAAGTAGTTCAAAATAACACAAGAGGTGTTTTAATTTAATCTAAATATAATGATTATGACGTTAAGAATGGCATGTTTACACGTATTATTTCGAGATGGAATTTCGAATTCTGCAGCGTGTTACCTGTAATCTCATAATATACGGTACCGATTTACATCGCTTTAACATTCTTCTTCTGTTTATAATGTATTTGTTATTTGTATATACCATTTTAATATGTGTATCAAATATTATAAGCTTAAGTGGTCCTTTTGCAAAGAAAAAATATTAAACAGTTTTTATCAAGCTTTTTCTCCTTTTGCGTTACGTGTTATATTAGTTACTAATTAAGTTTTATGCAAATGTAATAGTTGATGCTAATAAAGAATAATTGACAAAATAAATAATTTTATGTTTAGGCTCTATAGTTTAGACTTTGTATATGCTTAGTATATTGACACATACTACTCTGGTTAATGGAAATCTTAATGTGGAATGTATATTATGTTCTCTGCACAGTTTACTCGTATTATATAAATACGTATGTGACGGCAGGGAAAAACAATAGTTTAATATTGTGTTCTTGGTCATTGGATTATATTAAGCAATTATGTTTCTTAATTTTGGAATATAAAATAAAATAAATTATAATTTTACAATGTATTACATTCAAAATAATTATAATTAACCTATGGCAAAAGAAATTTAGATTAATTTTTCCAATCCCGGAGAAATATAAATAAATTTTCTATTTCCAGATTAGACTATAGGGGTTCAAATGGGTCGTCATAATATAATTTAACCTTTGAGTAGACCATTGTGAAGGTTGGGCGTTACCACATTTAATTTGAAAAACTTTAAGTGAATTATTTTAAAATTGTTCTTAGCAAAATTATTTTGGTGCATTCCATTTACATTTTGTTTTAATTATAAGGCTGCAAAAGTTTAAGCTTAAGTACAAAATATTAATTAAAAATGTCAAATAAATAAATATTTGTGTGTTCATTTTATAGTCAGAAAAGCATATAATTATATCATATTATTATAATAAGCGTACGTAAAGTTCATTGGTAGGGTATGTAAAATGCAATTCTGTGTCTTTTTCCTCGAAAATAAAAATAAATTCAAATTCAAAATATTAAAATGAGAAAATATGATCCGATTATTACTATATGGAATTATTATATTTAAATCGACGTTAGTGTCAGTAAAAAGTTATAGTTATTGTATACATTTTAGTTTCATAAGATGTATTGATTAAAATTATTAATTTTATGTATAAATACATACTTCAGTAGTTGCATAAAACTAAAAATATTTTAAAAAATACGAGGACAAAAATAAATAGTTATAAGTAATATTGTTAGATCAAAACATATTTAAAATATATTATTAATAAAATAAACATATATATATATTTTGTTTTTTTAATTTTATAAATTTTAAAGATATACATAACATTTAAAATTA